GCGCACCCCCCCCTCCGTGGGGGGGCAGCGGGGTCCCCCACGCCCACGGGACCCCCAGCCGCATCCCTCCCTCCCTCCACCTGCTCCAGCTCCGTCGCCTCCTCCGCCTGTGCCGCCCTCCCCACCGCCCGCGGCAGATAATGGCAGGGAGGGGGGGGCAGCCCCTTCCCACCACGCTCCTTCCCCTCCACCAGCGGCACCGTGGCATGGGGACCCCCGCCGGCCACCCCCCAGACCCCTCGGCAGCGCTGTCCCGTTGACGCCCATGGGTGCCACGCACGCCCTGCCGGCACGGGTGCCGATGCCTTCCCCTCTCTGGATAGGTATAAATAACATGACAGATGTCTATACAAAGAGTTATTCATATCGCTGCCAACCAGCGCAGCCCGGGAGCAGGAGCTGGAAGGGGCGTGGGGGGGAGAATTATAAATAAAAGACACCGTCCTGCAAAAAAAAAAAAGAAAAAAAATGGAAGAAAGGGGTGTGGAGGAGGAGGAGGAGGAGGGAGGGTGGCCTCCGCCACACCACCGAGGGCACGGCACCTCGAGGAGCACCCAACCGGGCCGGTGACGGGCACCGTGGACCCCGGTGGGTCGGTCCCCGGCGCTGCTGGCGCATGGGGCAGCTCCACCAGGACCCGGCGCAGCACCCACCCCGGCACATGCCAGCCGGCACGCGGCCCCGGCAGCCCCCAGCCCAGCACTCGCCCTGTCCGACACCTGTGGCCACAGCGTCCCCGTAAGGCCTCGGGGCTTGCCCCGTTGGTCTCCAGCCAGCCCATACAGCCCCATCCCACACCATACGGGGCAAACGGCTCCATGTTTATCCCATAGGACACCATATGGGGCAAACGGCTCCGTGCTCATGCCACCGGGCACCGTCCAGCGCCGATGGCCCCGCGCCCACCCTGCCCACCCCCCCAAGACCCATCGGTACCTTGGAATAGAGACCCCAGGAAAGCTCGGTCTCGATGACCATGACGACGATGCCGAACATGCCGAAGATGAGCGCATAGTCGCTGAGGCGCTTCCTCTTCTCGAAGAGCGCCCGGCGGTG